GAAAAAAACCCCCCCCAAAGGGGGGGGGGGGGGGGTTTTTTTTTTTTTTTTTTTTTTTTTATAGCAAATTCTGTATTTATGGTAATTGTTTTATTTTAAACAATATACCTAGGGTATCTGTTTCCTCTGCTTCTGCCCATATGCTAAGCTAACTGGCTGCTGGATCTAGCTCCATATTTAGCACATTGACATGAGAATGGTTTCACAGTCTTCTCATCTAACTCTTGGCAAGAAAGTTCCAAAAAAGTAGCTTTAATTGTGTGCGGTTGTGTTAGCATTAATGATAACACTTGATGTACAGAGTGACTGCAGTTTTAGAATCTACTTGATTTAAATTATTCAGAGCTCAGTTTTACTATATTGTTGTCTTTCTCTTTTTTGACAGTATGACTGTCTGTGCACATATTTTTGCACATAGCCCTGAGCTACCCATAATCCAATTTCATTTGATCTCAAAGGTTGCTGAATATTACAGTGTTACTAACTGTTTAGTGGCTATTTTATGCCATATGCAACAATAAATAAAAATCTTACTACATTTGTTGATTTTGTTATAACACCCAAATACTCTCTCTACTCATTGTTGACGTTGTGTAGCAGCTCATTTGAGAAAATGTGCACATTTCTGGGGCACTTTTAATGACAAAATTATTGAGTGTGTGTCTAAAGCAGTCTTTTGAACAAAAGGTTACAAAATGATCATTTAATTTCCAATAATTTCTGCATTGTCGTGGTTGAGACTATGGTTGGGAAGTTCTGGCCGTTATCCTGTCCTCTCTCACACAGGGGCCCTTGAGGAAAGCACTTTCTTTCCAACTTCTGCAGATGTGCACAGGCCAGCAGCAGAGGACTGTAGTGCTACTTATTGCGGAAACAAAGAGGTTGACATAAGACACATTACAGCCAGTCTGTCAAAGTTGCCAAGACAACAGCGCAGACTGGCAATGAGGCTATGTGCCATTCCTGTTCTGTTCACCACTCAGACTTGCATTTTTACAAAAAAAGTGTGCTTAAAATATTAAAGCAAAGTATGGAAAGTCATAAATAAGTCATAAATTATAATAATAAATATATAACTTGATTGATGAAAGTATCATGCATCAAAGAACCTTATAAAGTTGGGTGTATAAGGCACAACACATGCTGCTTGTTATAGTTTGTATTTTAACTGTAACGTGAGGACTTTGTAGCCCTGCAAATTTTAACTGTCTGTTAACAGCAACACATTTGTCAGTAAAAAGGGCCTGGAAAATCTGAACGCATACCGGTCAGACTGAAAAGCTAGCCTTTCTGTCCCTATTTGTGCAAAATAGACAGCAGGTAAAGAGTGCAAACCTCTGCCAAGGGGCAAATCCATTTCCCTGTAATGCCATAAAAGCAATATTCCCATGATAGTTTGACCCTCATAATATGATTGCTTGACCATATAAACCTACTGCTGCCATTTGGAATAACAATGATATGATTATCAGTTTGAAAGTTATTTAAAAAATAGACATGACAAACATTCACTTGTTAGTTTAGGGGTTAAACAAGGAATTCAGTGAATAGACTGTGGGAAAAGAGGTGAAAACGTCACATTTCTGCAAGTTTGTGTTCTACTTGTTCAACAGCTGTTTCTAAACTGCCCATACAATCTCAGTTACTGGCTGATTGTTGCAGTATGGAGTGATAGTTCAGGTTCTGTGCCTTCCCTTTGCCCAACTGTGTGCATGTGTGCCCCCTCTAAACAGAGAATGACAGGAAAAATACAGTGGCAAAGGAAAGCAATACTATTCACGTCAACCTGTGAGGCTACGCTGGGTGACGATAAGAACACTGACTGTATATAAAAACTGAACAAACCAACCATGACATCACTCGGTTGTCTGAAGAGTGGTTTTGAAACTCAGATATGGCCGTCACTATATTGGTAGCGCTGCTAGGTCAAATTCAAAAATGGGCAAAGAGGCAGAGTGAGAGTGGAGCTCTCTAAACAGTTAGCAGCAAGCCTCCTATGGTGGGACCCTCCTGCCTATCACTCAAAGTGGCCACGCCCTTAATTATGTGTAAATTTTAGTCTGCATAATTTAAAAAGTGAGTCATAAAAAAATTCACCCCCTCCCATCTTGGGAGGGGAAATTAGCTATAGAGACCAAAACCATTTTTTGTACCAGGCTGTAAACATGTTTATTTCTGCTGTAAAGTTGAGCAATATATCACAGGAGTGGATGGGACTTGACGCCCTTTTGGAGCTAGCCTCAAGTGGCCATTTTAGGAACTGCATGTTTTTGCACTTTAGCATTGGCTTCATTCCTCAGCCTTCGAGGTTTGCGCTTGGGTAAGAACCACAGGGTGTACTGCTCATTAACTTCTGACAGTGGAAACGCATCTATAAAGTGTAGCTGGAACACCGGTATCCTCACTGACAGACTACTGAACTTTGAATGAGATGTAGCTGCCTGCTAATAGAGCTAGCTTGGTCAGCTAACAAGCACTCACATCTCCGAAAATGTCGGAACAAATTCTAAATTGGCATCACTTGGATAGTCTGACCACATGTGGTTACGTTGTCGCCTAAAAAAAGTCAAAACACAATATAGTGACATAATACCATTATAACAGCTCTGAGCCTGGCTCAAAATTTCTACCATCTCACCCAACTCCTGCTGCATAGAGTAAATCACGGTTTCTGGAACTGAAAAGCCAGGGTTTCCCTCATTTCACTTTGAACAAACAGCTTTCTGGAATACCCCCTTAGCTTGTCAGATAGTTTAACAACATGAACAAGCCACACCATGAACAGATTAGCTTTATATAGTACACTGACATGATCAACTAGTAAATACCACAAATGACAAAATAAATGTCTCATCCAGACTGACATGGCAGTGTGTACTTACAGTTCTTCATACATGTACACAATAGTGATGGTAGCCTTAACACTAAGGCTTCAAAGCATGTGTTGAGTACTCCGGGCAGCACAAAGTGAACCTTTGTATCAAGGCTTGTATCATTTAGAAAATGTGACATCACTGATGGTGTTTGAAGCTTCATTGGTGCTACCGATTCAGGGAGGACTTCAAAGTTGGTGGGATGTGTGAGCATGTGCTTGAGATATAAGGGGAGAGTACATAGATTGCAAAATTTGTGGATTTGTAGTGTTGGAGATCACTGCAGTGCAATTGTTTGCATTGCAAACAATGACTAGCCAAATGTCTGCTTTCTTTTGTGTTGCATCAGAAACCACCGTGTTGGTATTCACTTCAACAAACTGGTCAGACTTCTACTATGTCCTCATTTTAGCTTGCTCATGCCAACACCAGGAAGTAGGCCTCAAGCCTGCCACATGTAACAAACATTTTTGTTGAGCCTGTCCTCCTATGCTAGTTTACTTCAGCTTAACATGCATAATCCTCACATATGTTGCAATTTATAAATCACTTACCTATTTTTACCCCATTCACACCTTTCTTCTGCTCCAGAGCCATTCACTGGACCTTGCTGCAGTGTCAGCTAGATTCCTAATTACATGTCTTGGGCTCTGCCCTTTAAACTGATCTAACTCACATAGTAGAGAGACAGCTGGCTTGGCTACAAATCCCATAAAACCGACCTCCACAGGGTGGACTTTAACTTTTCAGCCACGCTCCTCTGCTTCCATGGCTAATTCTGTGTATTTCAGTTTCTTCCTCTCATAAGCTGTATCTACAGAATCCTCCCAGGGAACTGTAAGCTCGACAAAATACACAGTACGCTGTGCTTCTGACTACAACACAAGGTCTGGTCTGATGTTAGGCCTGACTATCTCATCAGGAACTACAAGTTGGTTCTCTAAATCTACTGTGATTTGCCAGTCTCTACCTGCCTTTAGTTGGTCTGCATCCTGCTTCAAAATAACTTGCTTTCTGCCTTTTTCACAATTATTAACAAACAAAATCCCCTCTTGTTTTTTCTTCTTTCAGTAGCTGATCAACACGTGATTATGTCTCCAGGTGTATAGTCCTTGAGCCAGGCTTGTTTCACACCCTGCGATGTGCCAAAGTGAGGCTACACATGAACACAAGGGACATCTCATTTATGAAGAATATGGCCATTCTCCCACCTCCCATGCTTGTACAGTCACAGAAAAAAGGAGCATTTCGGATATACTTAAATAAATTTAAGATGAAAACAAATCTAATTCTATAGCAATGCTAGTGAGTGTTAGGATGGACTAAATGCTAACATCAGCATGCTAATGTGCTCACAGTGATAAAGCTTACATGCTTACAGTTCTTAATTTAGCATGTTAATTTATCCCTAAACGTGTCAGTTGAGGCTGATGGGAATGTGATTAGTTTTGCAGGTATTTGGTCATAAACCAGTGTTGGACAAATATAAATGTTGACCCTATCACAAAAAGTCATTGTGGCAAGCATGAATCTCAGAATACATTTTAATGGCAACTCATCTAACAAACATTTAACTCAAATCCCAGCCACTCAATGTGGTGGTGCTGGAGGTAAAGTCAGCAGATATCCAAACTTGATAGGATCCATTCACTCTGGACCAAGAATGTCTGTACAAAATTCCAATTTCATCCAAACCTGGCTGACTGACACCGTCAAAATAATAATTCAAAAGTTTTCTAGCATGACTTTTGATGAGCAAAAAATGAATGACTGTGATTGCAGTCGGACTTTAGGGGTCATGTGTGTGATTACTTTTGTATGTTTATGTTAGCCCAGGGATAGACTGGCAGTCTAGTCAGTCAGCTAAGGACATCTCTCAAGTACAAATCTTAAAAACTCAACACCAGTTACTATTTTCTCACTCTTGAATTGTCATTTAATTTGGAGATTTGCACATATTACATTTTAGATTAAAATCTTGACTCTGACTCAGTGTCCTAGCCCAGTGCACTGCAGCTTTTGTTTCTCGGA